TTTCTGTGTGTCTCTCTGTGCCTCTGTGTGTCTCTGCGTGTCTCTGCGTGTCTCCGCGTGTCTCTGCGTGTCTCTGCGTGTCTCTGTGTGTCTTTGTGTTTCTCTGTGTGTCTCTGTGTGTCTCTGCGTGTTTCTGTGTGTCGCTGTGTGTCTCTGTGTGTCACTGTGTGTATCTGTGTGTCTGTCTGTGTGTCTCTGCGTGTCTCTGTGAGTCTCTGTGTGTCTATGTGTGTCTCTGCGTGTCTCTGTGTGTGTCTGCGTGTCTCTGTGTGTATCTGCGTGTCTGTGTGCCTCTTGGTGTCTCTGCGTGTCTCTGCTTGTATCTGCGTGTCTGTGCGTGTGTCTGCGTGTCTCTGCGTGTCTCTGCGTGTCTCTGCGTGTCTCTGCATGCCTCTGCGTGTCTCTGTGTGTCTCTGCGTGTCTCTGTGTGTCTCTGTGTGTCTATGTGTGTCTCTGTGTGTCTCTGTGTGCCTGTCTGTGTGTCTTTGCGTGTCGTTGTGTATCCCTGCGTGTCTCTGCGAATGGCTGCGTGTCTCTGCGTGTCTCGTCGTGTCTCTGCGTGTCTCTGCGTGTCTTTGTGTGTCTGCCTGTGTCTCTGTGTGTTTCTGTGTGTCTCTGTGTGTCTCTGTGAGTCTCTGCGTGTCTCAGTGTGTCTGTGTGTGTCTCTGTGTGTCTCTGCGTGTCTCTGGGTGTCTCTGTGTGTCTGTGTGTGTCTGCCTGTGTCTCTGTGTGTTTCTGTGTGTCTCTGTGTGTCTCTATGTGTCTCTGCGTGTCTCAGTGTGTCTGTGTGTGTCTCTGTGTGTCTCTGTGTGTCTCTGTGTGTCTTTGTGTCTCTGTGTGTCTCTGTGTGTCTCTGTGTGTCTCTGCGTGCCTCTGCGTGTCTCTGTGTGTCTCTGTGCGTCTGTGTGTTTCTCTGTGTGTCTGTAGGTTTTCGTGTGTGTTGCCTGTGTATCTCTGCGTGTCTCCGTGTGTCTCCGTGTGCCACCGTGTGTGTCTCTGCATGTGTCTCTGCATGTCTCTGCGTGTCTCTTCGTGTCTCTGGATGTGTCTGCGTGTCTCTGCGTGTCTCTGCATGTCTCTGCGTGTCTCTACGTGTCTCTGTGTGTCTCTGCGTGCTTCTGCGTGTATCTGCGTATTTGTGCGTGTCTCTGCGTGTCTTTGTGTGTCGCTGTGTGTCTCTGTGTGTCTCTGTGAGTCTCTGTGTGTCTGTCTGTGTGTCTGTCTGTGTGTCTGTCTGTGTGTCTGTCCGTGTGTCTGTCTGTGTGTCTGTCTGTGTGTCTGTCTATGTGTCTGTCTGTGAGTCTGTCTGTGTGTCTGTCTGTGCGTATGTCTGTGTGTCTTCCTTTGTGTCTGTCTGTGTGTCTGTCTTTGTGGCCGTCTGTGTGTCTGTCTGTGAGTCTGTCTGTGTGACTGTGTGTGTGTGTCTGTCTGTGTGTGTGTCTGTGGGTCTGTCTGTTTGCCTGTCTGTGTGTTTGTCTGTGTGTGTCTGTGTGTCTGTGTGTGTCTGTCTGTGCGTATGTCTGTGTGTCTGTCTGTGTGTCTGTGTGTGTCTGTGTGTGTGTCTGTGTCTGTGTGTCTGCCTGTGTGTGTGTCTGTGTGTTTGTCTGTGTGTCAGTGTGTGTGTGTTTGTGTGTGTCTCTGTGTGTGTCTCTGTCTGTGTGTGTCAGTGTGTCTGTCTGTGTCTCTGTGTGTGTGTCTGCTGTGTGTCTGTCTGTGTTTGTGTGTGTGTCTGTGTGTCTGTTTGTGTGTCTGTTTGTGTGTCTGTGTGTGTGCCTGTCTGTGTGTTTGTCTGTGAGTCTGTCTGTGTGTCTGTCCGTGTGTCTGTCTGTGTGTGTCTCTGTCTGTGCGTTTGTCTGTGTGTCCGTCTGTGTGTCTGTGTGTGTCTGTCTGTGCGTATGTCGTGTGTGTGTCTGTGTGTCTGTCTGTGTGTCTGTGTGTGTCTCTGTCTGTGTGGCTGTCTGTGTGTCTGTCTGTGTGTCTGTCTGTGTGTCTGTCTGTGTGTGTCTGTATGTGTGTCTGTCTGTGTGTCTGTCTGTGTGTCTGTCTGTGTGTCTGTCTGTTTGTCTGTGTGTGTGTCTGTCTGTGTGTGTGTGTCTCTGTGGTTGTGTGTGTCTGTCTGTCTGTGTGTCTGTCCGTGTGTCTGTCTGTGTGTGTCTGTGTGTCTGTCTTCCTGTGTGTCTGTCTGTGTGTCAGTGTGGTTGTGTCTGTCTGTGTATCTGTGCGTGTGTCTGTCTGTGGGTCTCTCTGTGTGTCTGTCTGTGCGTGTCTGTCCATGTTTCTGTGTGTCCGTTTGTGTCTGTGTGTGTGTCTCTTTGTGGGTCTGTGTGTGTCTGTGTGTGTCTGTGTGTGTCCCAGTCAGTGTGTGTCTGTGTGTGTCTCTGTGTGTGCTTGTGCCTGTGTCTGTATGTCTGTCTGTGTGTGTGTCTCTGTGTGTGTCTGTGTGTCTGTGTGTGTCTGTCTGTGTGCCTGTCTTTGTGTTTGTCTGTGTGTCTGTGTGTCTGTCTGTGTGTGTGCCTGTGTGTCTGTTTGTGTGCCTGTCTGTGTGTTTTTGTGTGTGTGTGTGTGTCTGTGTGTGTGTCTGTCTGTGTGTATGTCTGTGTGTGCCTGTGTGTGTGTCTTTGTGTGTTTCTGCGTGTGTGTGTGTGTGTGTCTGTCCGTGTGTCTGTCTGTGTGTCTGTGTGTGTGTCTGTCTGTGTGTATGTGTCTGTCTGTGTGCCTGTGTGTGCGTCTGCGTGTGCTTCTGTGTGTGCGTCTGTGTGTGTGTTTTGTGTTTGTGTGTGTGTCTGTGTGTCTGTCTGTGTGTCTGTCTGCGTGTATGTGCGGGTCTGTCTGTGTGCGTGTCTGTGTGTGTGTTTCTACGTGTGTGTGTGTGTGTCTGTCTGTGTGCCTGTGTGTGTCTGCGTGTGTGTGTGTGTGTGTGCGTCTGTGTGCGTGTCTGTGTGTTTCTGTGTGACTGTGTGTGTGTGTCTGTCTATGTGTCTGTCTGTGTGCCTGTGTGTGTGTTTGTGTGTATGTGTGTGTGTGTCTGTGTGTGCGTCTGTGTGTGTGTGTGTGTCTGTGAGTGTGTGTCTGTGTGTGTCCGTGAGTGTGTGTGTCTGTGTGTGAGTCAGTGTGTCTGTCTGTGTGTCTGTCCGTGTGTCTGTTTGGATGGGTTTGTGTGTGTGTGTTCCTGTGTGTGTGCCTGTGTGTGTGCCTGTGTGTGTCTGCGTGTGTGTCTGTGTGTCTGTCTGTGTGTGTGTGTGTCTGTATGTCTGTGTGTCTGTGTGTGTTTGTTTGTGTGCCTGTGTGTCTGTGTGTGTCTGTCTGTGTGTCTGTGTGTGTCTGTGTGTGTCTGTCTATGTGTATGTGCCTGTGTGTGTCTGTGTGTGTCTGTGTGTGTGTGTGTCTGTGTGTCTGTTTGTCTGTCTGTGTGTGTTTGCATGTCTGTGTTTTTGTGTGTGTGTCTGTGCGTGCGTCTGTGTGTGTGTCTTTGTGTGTGTTTGTCTGTGTGTGTGTCTCTGTGTGTGTGTCTGTGTGTGCGTCTGTGGTGTGTGTCTGTGTGTGTGTCTGTGTGTCTGTGGGTGTGAGAGTGTGTGTACGGGTGCGTATGCGTGTACGTGTGCGTGTCTGTGTCTGTGTGCGTCTGCGTGTGTGTGTGTATGTGTGTGTGTGTCCGGGCGTCTGTGCGTCCGTGTTTCTGTGTGTGTGTGTGTTTGTGAGTGTGTGTGTGTGTGTCTGTGTGTCTGTGTCTGTGTGTATGTGCGTTCTCTCCGTGTGTGTCTGTGAGTGTGTTTGTGTGTGTGTCTGTCTGTGTGTGCAACAATCGCGCCCCCAGGGCATGCCAATGTTGTACACAGCCCCCTCTCCACGGCCTCGGGCCGGACCAGCTCGTTTGCGGGGGAAATAAGATTGTGTTCCCGCCCGGAGTGGGCAGAGGGCGGCTGGCCGGCCGGGCCTCGGCTCGGCGCCGAATATGGCAATTTTTCTTGTAACCGTCGCTACTTGTTTCGGGTCGTCGATTTTCAGGGGAGCCCAGATCTCAGACCCCCTCGGGCACTCCCCCTCATTCCTCTGGACCTTTCGCCCTAAGCTTCTGCCGCTTTTCCGATATGATCTACGTGGGCATCCCTGAATTACGTAAGGGTCCCATGAGTTTCGATGAATTAATCCGCACCTTCCGCGGAGGTCAGCAGGTTAGGAAGGTGGAGGTGGATGAGGGTAGCGACAAAATCATGACAGGCGATCATTGACTGTGTTCGCCCTGTGGAGGCCCGTCCGACCCCTCTGGACAGGAGGCAAATGGGTCGAGACCTCTGGGGGTCGACGTTGTGATAAAGTCATGACGTCGGCGGTCTGGGATCTCGACGCCATGTTTGCTTCATACATTTCCACACCTAGGGGCCGTTGCCAGGCCCCGAGCCTATGAAACATTGCTCCGACGCGCAATAATTCCCCGTGGATAGGGGTCGGTCGGGACCGCAGATTGCACAAACTCACGTCGTCAGACGGCTTGAGACGGTTCCTGAGGGAAACGGAAACGGAGCTCGACGTTTTTGGTTGTTTTTGACCTCCCGGGGCCCTCCACGGGCCATGGCACTGTCAGAACACGGCCCAGGGACAAAAGGCTGATCGTGGGGGAAGTCACCGGTGTCTGGGCCTGTGCCTCTTAGGACCCTTTTGCATCATGCCGGGAACTCGGCCTCCCAGATGGGGTCATAGTAAATGGGGTCGGTGGATCGCCCCGCATCGCTGATGCATCGGAGATGCGGCTCGATGCGGAGGCCGATTTCTCCACGCCGACGTCGCCGATGCATCGCCGACGTCGCCGATGCATCGCCGATGCATCAGCTGCGCTGCGCGATCCTCCGACCCCATCCACTCGGACCCCAGCTGGGAGGCATCTACAAGAGGTGCATGGCGCCGCGTTGCAGGTCACGACCTGGGCTTTCGGGCAGACGCAGAAGCTCGGGGCCCTGGGGCGCACGTTCGACGGCGCCGTGGTGTTCGACCCCGAGGAGCTCATGCCGGAGACACTGTGGGCGGCCGTCGAGACAGTACGTGGAGGCGGCGTGGTGGCCGTGGTCCTGCCGCCTGGGCTCGCCATGAGCGGCGGGGGTGGCGCCGACGGCGGCGGCGGTCCGTCGGGCAACGGGCCTTCCACCCGGCATCCGCTCTTCTCGCGGCTGGTGGCCAAGCTGCTGGGCGGCGCGGGCAGCTGCATCCTCGTCGACGATTGTCTGCGACAGCTCCCTCGCGAGTGGGCCCAAGCCCGCACCGGGGAGGCTCCCGCAGGCGAGGCTGCGGGCGACTGCGGCCCACTGGAGCCCGAAGGAGGGGAGGCCAGCGAGAGCGGCGCTGCAGCAGCTGTTGCGGGGTGGGCCGGAGCGCTGTTGCAGCTGGCGCTCACTGCGGACCAGGCGCGTGCGATGACAGCCGCGCTGGCCCACCTCGCAGGGGCCCGGCCGGGCGTGCGGCGCTCGGTGATGCTCAGCGGCCGGCGGGGCCGCGGGAAGTCCTTCGCCGCAGGGCTGGTCGCGGCAGCCCTCCTCAGCGCGGACGAGCCCGCGCTGGCCGCGCCGATCACCGCCGTGGTCGTCGCCGCGCCCGCAGCAGAGAACGCCCGGCAGCTGATGCAGGCGCTCCGCCAGGGTCTGGACGCCCAGGGCCGCCGCTGCGCCGCATGCCTGCCCGTGGGCCACGGCGCGGGGCTGTGCGTGCTTCCGCCCGACGCAGGCGGCACCGCCGTGCAGGTGCTTTTTGTGCCCGCTGCGCAGGCCGCCGACGTGGTGGCCGCGATGGGGATCGTCGGCCACTCCACGCTCCTGGTGGTCGACGAGGCCGCGTCTGTGCCCGTGCCGAACCTCCGCGCGCTGTTGGGGGCGCACTGCGGCGCCGCGCTGCTGGCCAGCACGCTGTCGGGCTGCGAGGGCACCGGGGGGGCCCTGGAGCAGAAGGTGCTTGCTGGCGAGGCCGATGGCGGGCGGGGGCCGCTGCTCCTGACCCTGCGGGAGCCCGTGAGGTATGGCAGCGGCTGCCCGGTGGAGGGCCTGCTGGACCAGCTCCTCTTCCTCGGGGCGGGTGCCGACCTGCCGCTGCCGCCTCTGGATGTCGCCGCCTGTGGCGCGCCCGACGAAGGTGAGCTCTACGAAGTAGATGTGTCGCGGCTGGAAGCGAGCGAGAACGCAGACTTTGCGTACGCTCTCGTCGCCTTGCTGCAGACGCACTACCGCACCTCCGCCAGCGACATATCGAGCATGCTGAAGCAGCCGTACATGCGGGCACACGTGCTGATGCCTTCGGCGAGCGCCGGCTGCCGTGTTGCCGTTGGTCACCCACCACTAGTCGCAATGCTGTCCATATCGGAGAGTCCTGAGTTGCTGCCCAAAGACGGGTCCAGCAATGCCAGTCGCGTATCTCGGTCCCACCTGACGGCCTTCGCTGTGGAGCAGGATTTCCCCGAGCTTCTGCTCAGGGCCTCTGCTGGCCTCCGCATCTCGCGCCTCGTGTGCGACCCTCGCCTGCGCGGCAGGGGCTTCGGGACCGCCGCCGTGGTGCAGCTGCTGAGACACCTGGAGCGCTGCTCAGAAGGAGACCTCGCTGATGGTGCCCTCGCAGATGGCGGCTCGCCTCTGCGAGGCCCTACGGGGTACGGCTGCGATGTCGTGCAGTGGGTCGGCGTTTCCTTCGGGCTCACCCGGGGGCTGCTGAACTTCTGGGCGCGCCTGCTCTTCGTGCCGGCGGTGCTCTCGCCGGCACCGAACCCTGCGACCGGGGAGCTTTCCGTGGTGATGATCCGCGCCATGCCGGGCGCTCCAGCGGCGCTGCGGCAGATCGCGCAGCAGATAGGGCCGGAGCTCGGCTCGAGGCTGCTGCAGGGCATGAGGGGCGCGCGCTGCTCGCCGCCAGCCGCGCTGTGCGCCCAGCTGCTCAGGCTCGCGTTCGAGGGCGCCGCGCCTGCTGCGCGGTGGCAGCCTGGCGCTGCCGACCGGGCCCGCCTCGAGCGGCTCGCGCGGTCGCAGGAGCCCCTCCACGACGTCGAGCACTCGCGGGACCTGCTCTCGGCCCTGGCGGGGGCCTACTTCGCCGGCGGCCTGGCGCCGCTGAAGCTGCCGGCGGCGGAGGAGGAGCTGCTGGCTGCCGCCGGCGTGAAGGCGCTCAGCCTCAGCAGCGCGGCCGCGGACGTGGGCTCCTCGACGCCCAACCTGGCGGCCCTCGGGCTGAGGCGCGCGGCCGCCGAGGCGGCGCGGCGTGTGGGCCTGTGCCTGGGGAAGGAGCTCCTGCTGACCCTGCGCGCGGCTGGGAGCGCGGCAGAGCCCTGGAGCTCAGGGGCAACGTTAGGGGGGGGGACAGGCTCGGGGGGGGGGGACGCGCCGACCCCGAATCGCCCATGGATTGCCGAGAGGGGCCCGGTAGCCAAACCCGCGCAGGAGCGTGGCGTGCGGAGTCGCCATCGGGGGCCTGCGCCGATCCATCGGCGCTGTATATCGCCCCGATTCCAGGTCGATGTTTCCCCCCCCCCCCCCCTCCCCCCTGAGCCGATTCCTCCCCGACCGTTCCCCCTCCAGGAGCGCCTGGCTCCCGCCTGTGCACGAGCTCCACTGCGGCGGGGGCGTGGTTCCGACCGCCGCGCTGGCGTGGCAGCGGGCGCCCGCCGACAGGGCGCGGCCCCGCGAGCGCGCGGAGCCAGGCGCCCCGGAGGAGGAGCGCCCGCGCGGGCTGCTGGCCGAGTGGCGGTACCCCGTGGAGGGCGAGGCGGGCGACCTGAGCCTGTGGCTTGCGCCCGCCGCAGGGGCCGCGCACCCGCCCGAGGGCGCCGGCTGGGAGGCGGAGGTGAGGTGCTATAGGCCTCCTGCTAGATCGGGGCGGGTAGATGGGGTCGGCGGGTGTCGCGCCGCACTGCCGACGCATGAGATGAGAGGCGAGACGGCTGGACATGAAGCCCGATGTTCTCCACGCCAGCGTCGCCGATGCACCGCCGACGTCGGCATCGTCGGTGCATCGGCGATGCGGCGCGATCCTCCGGCCCCATCCACTCGGACCCCTGCGGGGAGGCCTCCCTAATTAGGTGCTACCACATGTGGCACCGCCAGGAGCTCGCGCTGCCCGCGCCGCCCATCGCGGGGGCTGCGAAAGGTGTCCCTGGCCCAAGGTGTCAGCTTTTCGCCCCATTTGGGAACCCCCTGCGGGCCCCTGGGAGCCTGCTTGGAACTCCTGGGGGCTCCTTGGGCCAGGGGCACGTCTGGCAGCGCCTGGCCATCAGCCTCGACGTGCACCTGGTCGGCGCGCCCGCGAGCCCGGCGGACGTCTGCGTGGTGGTGCTTCTCTGGGACCGGCCCCTCTCCGTCCTGGCGCACGGCCGCTGCCGGGGGCACGCGCAGCTGCCGCCGCTGGGAGATCGACTACACGTAAGAGTGGCCCCCCGCCAGAGTGACTTTTGCTGCGAGCTTTCAGGGGTCCCCCCGATCGCCGAGCTCAACGCGATAGTGGCTGCTTGCGCGTTTGGATTTGGCCACCTTGCGTCCCTCTAATCCGCGCACGAAAGGTCACTCCAGGAGGAGGAGGAGGAGGAGGAGGAGGAGGAGGAGGAGAAGGAGAAGGAGAAGGAGAAGGAGAAGGAGGAAGAGGAGCAGGAGGAGGAGAAGGAGGAGGAGGAGGAGGAGGAGGAGGAGGAGGAGGAGAAGGCGGAAGAGGAGGAGGAGGAGGAGGAGGAGAAGATGAGAAGGAGGAGGAGGAAGAGAAGGCAGAAGAGTAGGAGGGGCAGGAGGATGATGATGAGGAGGAAGAGTTATCATTAAGGAGAAGGAATGGAGGAGGAGGAGGAGGAGGAGGAGGAGGAGGAGGAGGAGGAGGAGGAGGAGGAGGAGGAGGAGGAGGGGGAAGGAGGAGGAGGAAGAGGATTGCCTGGGGTCACTCCTGCGTGTCGCCGAGGAGAGCTGGGCGGCGACCCGGGCGGTGAGAGCGCGCTGCGGCTGCCGCTGCGTGCGCCCGCGAGCGGCGCGGACGCCGCGGGCCCCGCCGGCGAGCTGCGACTCGCGGCCCGCTGGCGCTGGCCGCTGCGCGCGGGGCGCCCCGAGCGCGGCAGCCTGGAGCGCTCAGCGCGGGAAGCACAGACGCCCTCGGGTAGTGAAGAAATCTGGACCGTAGTTTTTTTTGTTTTTTTTTTTGTTTTTTTTTTTTTGTTTTGAATTTTCGGCCTCTGGAGGCCCTGCCCGACCCTCGGGACCGTCAAAAAACGACTCGGTATGAAAAAAATCGGTGCCGGGGAATGGGCCCGAGGAAATCACGGCGGAAGTTTTTGTTGACAATTTTCGGCGTCCCGGAGCCCTCGCCAGGTCCTGGGACTGTCAAAAACAATTCAGGATGAAAAACGGGCCCCGGGCAAGGGGTCGGGATTTCCAGGGGTTGCGTATTGAAAAAATCAGGGTCTCGAGTAGGATTGGAGGGGGGTGCGACACCTGGGAAAAAGCGCGCTCGTGGCACACTTCTGACAAACAGGTGGGCCTAAGCTTCATGCTGCCCCCCCCCCCACCACCCTTGGAACAGGGGGGAGGGTCTTCCGAAGCTGCCCCCCCGCCTCGCCTCCTTTGGCGCGCATGTTTTAGCTGGGAGGCCCCAGCTATATGGGGGGCGGGGGGAGGGCGCTGGAAACTGCCCCCCCCTCCCCCCCTGTTCGGGGCCCGGGGTCAGCCCGCGCTCCCCTTTCAAGACGGGGTGGGGGGGGGGCCTTCCGAAGCTCCCTCCCCTTCTCTTGTTCTGGACGTTGTAGCTGGAGGGTCCCTATGGCTAAAGGGGGGGGGGCTTGGAAGCTACCCCTCCTGCTTTTCAGGGCCCCGGGTAAGCCCGGGCTCCCCTTTCCAAAGGGGGGGCTTCCGAAACTCCCCCCACCCCTCCCCTCCTTCTGTTGGCTTTTCCAGCTGGATGGCACTTGCTGAAGGGTTTCGGCGCCCCTTTGCTTTTCGTCTCCATTTTATTTTGGTTTTCGGCGCATTGCGCATCGTTGGTTTTCGGCGCCCCTTTGGTTTTCGGCGCCTCTTTGGGTCTCAGCGCCTCTCTAGTTTTCGGCGCGCTTTTGGTTTTTTGGCGCCCCTCTGGTCTTCGGCGTCCTTTGTGTTTTCGGCGCCCTGTCCGTCTCCGAAGCTTCTGTTGTTTTCGGCGCCCCTTGCGTTTTCGGCGCCCTTTTGGTTATCGGCGCTCCTTTCTAGTCTTTCGGAGACCTGGTTTTTCTGCGGATCGTTGGTGTTTGTTCGGCGCCCTTTTTGTTTTCGACGCTCATTTTGGTTTTCGGCGCCCCTTGGGTGTTCGGCGCCCCTTTGGTTTTCGGCGTCCTCTTGGTTTTCGGCGCGCCTCTGGTTTTCGCACCCGTTTGGTTTTCGGCGCTCTTTCGGTTTCCGGCGCATCTTTAGTTTTCGGCGCCCCTTTCTGTGTCCGACGCGTTTTTATTGTCGTCCTCTTTTGGGTGTTCGTTGCCCTCTTGTTTTTCGGCGTCCCTTTGGTTTTCGGCGCCCTTTCGGTTTTCGGCGCCGTTTTGATTTTCGGAGCCCGTGTGGTTTTCGGCGCCCTTTTGGTGTTCGGCGCTCCTTTGGCTTTCGGCGCCGTTTTGGTTTTCGGTGCCCTTTCGTTTGGCTTTCAGCGCTCTTTCGGTTTCCGGCGCATCTTTGGTGTTCGGCGTCCCTTACTTGTGTTTGGCGACCTTTTGGTTGTCTGCGCCTTCTTGGTTTTCGGTGCTTTTTTGGTTCCTGGCGTCCTTTTCAAGTTTGGCAACTCTTTGATTTTTGGCGCCCCTTGATTTCGGTGCTCCTTTGGTTTTCGGCGCCCCTTTTGATTTTCGGTGCCCTCCTTTCGGTGTTCTGGCGACCCTTTGGTTATCTTCGCCTTATTGGTTGTCGGCGCTTTTTGGTCTCTGGCGTCTTTTTCAAGTTCGGCGACCCTTGGGTTTTCGGCGACCTTTGTGGCTCTCGGCGCTGCTCTGGTTCTCGGCGCCCCTGTTGGTTTCCGGCGCCTCTTTGCTTTTCGGCGCCCCGCTGGTTTTCAGAGTTGTTTTTGTTGGTTTTCAGCGCCTCTTTGGTTTTCGGCGTTCGTGAGGTTTTCGGCGGCTTTGGGTTTTCTGCGCCCATTTGCTTTTCGACGCTCTTTTGGTTTTCGGCGCCCCTTTGGTTTTCGGCGCTCCTCTGGTTTTCGGCGCTCCTTTGGTTTTCGGCGCCCGTTCGGTTTTCGGCGCACCTTGGGTGTTCGGCGCCCTTTTGATTTTCGGCGTTCCTTCAGTTTTGGCGCGTCTCTGGTTTTCGCACCCGTCTGGTTTTCTGTGGCCCTTTGGTTTTTGGCGCTCTTTTGGTTTTCGGCGCCCTTTGGTCCGCGTCGCTCCTTCCTTTAGCCAGGGGGGGGGGGGCTTGGAAGCCCCCCCCACCTTTGGCCCAAACGGGGGGAGTGGGGGCTTTGGCAGGGGAGTTTTAAAAGGATGGGGGGTATTCATGGCTCCCCCCCCCCCCCCCCCTGGAAAGGAAGGGGGGGAGCTTCCTGAGCGCGAACGGGGGAGGGTGGGTATCTTCTAAGGGGCGGACAAAAAGGAGGGTAAAGGAGGGGGCGGCTTTCTGAAAAGGGGGGGAGGTTAATTGGGGGGGGAGGGGGGGAGCCAAGCCCCCCCTCCCCCCCGTTTGGACATGGAGAGGGGGGGGTAGCTTCTGGAGCGCGAAAGGAAGGGGGGGGGGGTAGCTTCCGAGCGGCGGAAAAAAGAGGGGGGGGCTCCTGCAGGGAAGGTCTGAGGGGGACCACCCCCCCTTCGAGAGTGTGCCACGGGCGCGCTCTCTCATACTTGGGGGGGGGGGGCAGCGGGGGCATTTCGGGCCCGAGAAGTGCACCTTGCCCCCCCTCCCCCCGTTCATCGCCCCCCACTGAGCGGCGCCCAAACGGTCAGAACGCCGCCTGGGAGAGGTCTGGGGTGGAGCGGCGGTACCTTCCCAGACCCCGACGCCACGAGTTTTCCATGACGGGGGCCCCAGCGGTCTAGACCCATTCCCCGGGGCTGGTTTTTCATCTTGAGCTGTCTGTGGGCGGCCTCTCGCGGCCCGCGCTCGAGCGCGCGGGCGGACTCGCGCCATGCGACGACTGAGAAAGATGTACTTGCTGACGGTCCCGAGAGGCCAGCGTCTGCCTCTCCAGGGGTCGAAGACTGCCAGACACCTCCCGCCGTGATGTGTACGTTGAGACCCGAGGTGGGCAGGGTTCCCAGACCCCGACGCCATGTTTTTGTCCTCCTCCTCCTCCTCCTCCTCCTCCTCCTCCTCCTCCTCCTCCTCCTCCCTCCTCCTCCCTCCTCCTCCTCCTCCCTCCTCCTCCTCTCCTCCTCCTCCTCCTCCTCCTCCTCTCCTCCTCCTCCTCCTCCTCTCCTCCCCCCTCCTCCTCCCCTCCTCCTCCCCCTCCTCCCCCATCCCCCTCCTCCTCCTCCTCCTCCTCCTCCTCCTCCTCCTCCTCCTCCTCCTCCTCCTCCTCCTCCTCCTCCTCCTCCCCCTCCTCCTCCTTCCCCGGGAAGGGGAAGGGTTCTTCCTCCTTGGTCGTTTTCTTCACGGCCCCGCGAGGCCGGGGAAAAGGGCCCCCCGGAGGCCGAACGTAGCGAAACACCTCCCGCCGTGGCCCACTCACTGCGCGAAGAGGTCCAGGTGCTCGGTTCCCCCCAGGAGCTGAGTGGGCTGGAGGTGTGCGGCGCGGCGGGCGCGAGCCCGAGCGTGCCACAGGCCTCGCTGCGCGCGGAGCTGCGCGTGCTGCACCGGGTGGGCGCGGCGAGCGGGCGCCTGGGCGCGGGGAGCGGCGAGGCACTGCGGCTGCGGGTCCGGGTGAAGCAGAACAGGCCTGTGAAGTCTCGGCAGTGCGGAGGGGCCGAGGAGCAAAACAAAAAAAAAAGCGGGCGGGGGTGAGGGGGGGAGGCCGACGCTGGGACCACCAGGACTGCCCCCTCCCCCCCTTCTCTTCCTCCTCCCGCCTTCCGCCGCCTCCTCCTCCAGGTCCTCCGCCGCCTCCTCCTCCTCCCCCTCCTCCTCCTCCTCCTCCTCCTCCGCCTCCTCCTCAGTCGCATGTGTTGACTGCGCCCGCCTTGCAGGCCTGCTTCTCGCGCCCGTTCCCCCCCCCCCGCACCCACAGCAAAGCGCACCGTTCCCCCTCCTCCCTGTCATTCTGGCCGCTCCCCTGCGGCGGGAATCGCTCGACATCCTCAGCGCCCACTGTGTGTTATGCCTGCAGGCCGCAGTTGTTGCGAGCGCGCTGCCGCAAATCGAATGGAGTCGTCTTCGATGCTTATCCTCGTGATCCGCTCTCTGCGGCCGCCTTGCAGCGATGGGTGTCCTCGGCCAGTGGCGCTAATTAGTGCTTCATGCTTCCCTGCTGCCCGTGGGGGTTCGAGGTGGGTCCCTGAGCCAGAGAGCGAAGAGGATGCCGTCGTCAAGCTCAGCCCACGAAGAGGCGCCTGGGTACCTTGCACGAGCGCCGAATCAGGGAAAGAGGAACGCGACAGAAGGACAGGAGAGGGTCGGCCCCAGGACAGCCAAGAACCAACAAATACGCCCAGATCCTGCAAACTTCTGGCTCGAACAGAGCGTGCGGCAGGGGAGAAGAGCCCAGGGGCGGAACCGGCGCGGGGCGAGGAGGACAGGAACCAAGATATTCTCGCGTCTTGAAAACCACGACGGGAGGTTTTGGGCGATGTTGGCCTCCGTGGGTCCTCGCAAGGCCCCGAAACCGTCAAGCATCAAGTCAGGATGGACAAGCTGGCCCGGACAGGGTCAGGACGTCCATAGACCGCGCCTGGAAGACAGCGGAACGTTGCATGTAGATGGGAAGGGGCAGGGCTCACCAGGGAGAGAGCTGGGGCAAGCGAGAGGGCGGGGGGGGGGCAGAAGAGCCCCCGACACGCGCCGATGTGATGTTCTCAGGCCGTGGCCCGAGAGGTCCCGGGCGGGGAGGCCCCGACCTCCCGGAGTCGGGGCACCCCAAGCTCAAGCAGTGGCGAAGCGTCCTGGCTCGCCTATAGCCCTGCCAAACCATGCTCTACGAACCTCTTTGTGGTTTCCACAGCATGTTCTCAGAACATTTCTGGCGGAGTCTGTCTTGTTTTATCACGTCGGGCTTCTGTTCTAAGAACATTGTTTTGGTTTTAGAACATGCTTGGGGTTCTAAGAACCTTCCGTGGTAATACTATAGGAGTGTTGGGACGGTCGGTCCCTGCTCTACAAACGGGTGGTGACCACACCGTGTGGTGAGTCGGTGGGGATTCGGGGTCACCGCACGGTTTTGGGACTCGAGTCCTTCTCCGAGGACGTCTCGGGCGACAGGGGCCTCCAGGGTCCCAAGACAGTGTGGTGACGGACCGTGCCGTGAGGTCTCTTGGGGTTCCGAGGTCACCGCGCGGTCTGCCACCGCACCGTTCCAGGACTCCAAACAGAGTGCGGAAACATTGCCTTCCGAATTAATAGAGCGATGTGGACTGGCCACGACCTCGACGGGAATTTGCATGTCAAGGTCCTGGTATCCTGACACCCCCCCTGCAGCCAACCTGACAAGGCGGGGGTTGGGGGGGGAGGAACAGGCACCCTGACCTTCCCGGGAGGGCCAGAGAACAGCGCCAGGACCCTGACGTTCAGTGTCCTGTCGAGGTCTTGGGTCGTCCAGACAGGTCCACAGGTCTGGAGAACCACCCCCTGGCACCCTGGGCAGGGCGGGAGGGCCGCCGAGAGCGAGGCGCGCCTCCTGCCGCAACGCGCCCGCAGGTCAGGGCCGCCGCCGCAGCCAACCTGGCGGGCCGCTGGCCGCCAGGCGGTGGCCGCCACGACGCGGCCCGGGGCGACGGGCTCCTGCACGCGCGCCGACGAGCTGCGGAGCGGCCGACGCCGCCGACGACGCCGCCGACGACGACGACGAGGCGCCCTGAGGGCCTATCTCCGACGACGACGCCGACGCCGACGACGAGGACGACGCCCACTCCGACGCCGACGCCGACGACGACGACGGGGTGCCCTGAGGGCCTGCCTCCGACGAAGACGAAGACGAAGAAGACGCCGCCGACGACGACGACGACGACGACGACGACGCCAACGACGCCGACGACGCCGAAGCAGACGCAGACGCCGACGCCGACGCCGACGAGGCGCCCTGAGTGACTGCCTCCGACGATGGCGCCGACGCCGACGCCGACGCCGACGCCGACTCCGACGCCGACGAGGCGCCCTGAGGGCCTGCCTGCATCCGACGACGACGACGACGAAAACGATGACGACGACGACGACGACGACGACGACGACAACGATGACGACGACGACGAGGCGCCCTGAGGGCATGCCGCCGACGACGACGACGACGACGCCGACGCAAGCGCCGACGCCGACATGGACGGCGACACCGACGACGACGACGCCGCCGATGCCGACGACGACGACGACGACGACGACGACGACAACGACGACGACGACAACGACAACCACGACGTCGACGACGACGACGAGTCGCCCTGAGGGCCTGCCTCCGACGCAGACGCCGAGTCCGACGACGACGACGACGACGACAACGAGGAGCCGTGAGGGCCTGCTTCCGACGTTGATGCTGACGTCGCCGACGACGTCGACGACGTCGACGCCAGCGCCTGCCTCCGACGCCGACGACGCCGAAGCAGACGCCGACGCCGACGCCGACGCCGACGCCGACGCCGACGCCGCCGACGACGACGGCGACGTCGACGAAGACGAAGACGCCGACACCGACGCGGACGCCGACGCCGACGCCGCCGCCGCCGCCGACGCCGACGCCAACGACGACGACGACGACCACGTCGATCACGACGACGACGACGGTGACGACGACGACGACGACGACGAGGCGCCATGAAAGTCTGCCTCCGACGACGACGACGCCAACGCCGACGACGCCGACGCTGACGCCAATGCCCACGAGGCGCCAATGCCGATGCCGACCGACGACGACGACAACGACGACGACGACCACGATGACGACGGGGTCAACGACGACGACGACGACGACGACGACGACGACGACGACGAGTCGCCCTGAAGGCCTGCCTCCGACGACGACGACGCCGACGCCGACGCCGACGAGGCGCCGACGAGTGCCTGCCTCCGACGACGCCGACGCCGACGATGACGACGACGAGGCGCCCCGAGGGCCTGCCTCCGACTACGACGACGCCGACGACGACGACGATGCCAACGAGGCCGACGCCGATGCTGACGACGATGATGCTGCCGACGCCGCCGACGATGACGACGACGACGAGGACGCAGACGCCGACGCCGACGCCGACACGGACGCCGACGCCGACGCCGACGACGACGACGACGACGCTGGTGCCGACGCCGACGCCGACACCAACGCAGACGCCGGCGCCGACGCCCACGCCAGTTTCGCTGTCGACGCCGACGCCGACGCCGACGACGCCGTCGGCGCCGACGCCGACGACGACGACGCCGACGCCGTCGTCGACGACGACTTACTACGACGCCGACGCCGACGCCGATGACGACCCCGACCACGACGACGACGAGGCGCCCTGAGAGCCTGCCTCCGACGACGAAGACGACGACGACGACACCGACGCCGACGCTGACGCCGATGCCGACGGCGACGACGACGACGAGGACGATGCCGACGCAGACGCCGACGCCGAGTCCGACGACGACGGCGACGACGAAGTGCCGCCGACGACGACGACGAAGCGTCCTGAGGGCGTGCCTCCGTCGACGACGACGCCGACGCTGGCAAAGCCGACGCAGACGCCGACGCCGACGCCTTTGCCGACGAGTCGCCCTGAGTGCTTGCCTCCGACGGCGACGACGACGACGACGACGCCGACGCAGACGCCGATGCCGACGACGACGACGACGACGACGCAGACGCCGACGACGACGACGCCGACGACGACGACGACGACGACGACGACGAAGCGCCCTGAGGGGCTGCCTCGGACGTCGACGCCGACGCTGACGCCGACGCCGACACTCCGCCGACGACGACGCCGACGCCGACGAAGACGACGCTGACGACGACACAGACGCCGACGCCGAATTCAACGACGAAGCCGACGAGGACGCCGACGCCTACGCCGACGACGACGAAGCCAACGCCGACGCCGACGCCGTCGCCGACGCCGACGCCGACGACGCGGACGACGACGCCGACGCCGACGCCGACGCCGACGCCGACGCCGACGACGACGACGACGCCGACGCCGACGCCGACGCCGCCGCCGCCAATGCCGACGACGACGATGGGCGGCGGCGGCGGCAACGGAGGCGGCGGCGTCGGCTGCAACGGCGGCGGCGGCGCGCAATTCAAAATTCATAATGGGAGATTTTTCGTTGTCTTCGCTTCTAGGAGGCCCTTACCCACACCCCCTCGAGTCGCAACAACAATTACCACGGGCGGCTGTGTCGAGCCGTGCTGGGCCTCTGCGGGCCCTCACCTGGCCTCGGGACCGTCGCACAACGACTGGGGATGAGAAGCCGGTCCAGGCGACTGGGTCGAGACCATTCGGAATCAACGTTACGAACAAATCATGGCTTCGGGGATCTGGGCACGCATTGTTCGTTTCTAATTCTTCGAAAGCTCTTTGGTGTTTTTGAGGGGCAAGATCCTGTCAGTTCTGACTGATCTATCCTGGGCCTCCCCCTGGCCACTAGGGGGCCAGGAACAATTAGACACGAGCACAACTGGAAGTGAGCACGAGTAGAAATGAACGACGTGTACGGTGCGGTGGCCACAGCGTGGTGAGTCGGCGGCGGTGCGGGGCCACCGCGCGGCTTTGGGGCCGGGGGCCGTTCTCCGAGGGCGCCTCGGGCGACCTGGGGCTTGGGCCTCCGAGGCCCTGAGGCCGTGCGGTGACGGACTGCGCGGTGAGGTCGTTTTGGGGGGTGCC